ATGAAATATGTATCACTCGGAGAATCGGTTAAATTTTCATTTTTTTCGCGCTAAATGTGACTCGAAAATTACTTGGCCGAGAATGCAGAGAATGAAAGACCTTGGTTCAGCGCGAAAGAAAAAAAAATACAATTCTCGGTATATTCAAATTACAAAATATCATTGATTTCATTTTGAAGATTATGACGGTCCGAGCACGATTACTTGCTTCAGGTCTTTTGTTTTCGCATTTATGGCACATTCGCACATACACACACACACACACACTGGAAAAAAACAACAACAGCCAACAAACACCAGCTGCTCCATGGTCAATAGCATGAACCAAAGACAAGGTTCCTCCAGAACATTCACTCTCTCGCCGCGAATTTGGCCAGCAGCCAATACCAATTCATGATGTAATGATATCCCGAAAGAGAGAAAAAGAAACCACATTAGCTTCGATGAGTCTCTTTCAAAATTACCTACAATTAAAATCTAAATTGAAACTGAAACACTTCTGTTTTAATGGCGGTCGCAAATAATTGATAATAATGAAATGCATTGGGCAACATTGGTGTTTGTACATTGCCAACGGGGTTCAAACTTATTAACCTTTTGCGCTGGCAAACGTGGCCCATTCGGCATCGGGCGCACACATACATACACATTCACTACAATGTGAAGTGTCATACAATAAAATTTATCTCATTTGGCTAAAGTTCGGTGCCGAACAGGCATATTGGAATTAAAGAGGAAATCAATCCGATCTTGATTCCATTAACATTTGCTCTCCTCAAAGTCATTATCATAAATCTATTTATTTTTGTTAACGTGAAGGAAACATGTGTGTGTGTGTGTGTGTGTGAGACAGACTATGCACCATCATCGCCGCCAACAACGACGACGATTCGAGGTTCAATGTTCGCACATTCAAAGCGCGACTTAAAAAATTGCTCTAATTCGAAACGATGAACACTTTACACATCATCACACCGAGGCCGGATTTGGCTTGCATAGACAATGAAATCACTGGATTGCAATAATTTACCACCCAATTGGCAGAACCATTGATTTTAATTAGAGATTTCAAAGCAATTTTAAGGTGCAAAACGAGTGATCTTTTGTTGTCTCTCCACGGTTTTTAATGTGTACTTCGAAATTTTCTTCGTTTTTCTTTCTACTTCTCATTACATCCAGTTTTCACACAAAGACTCTATCTCTCTATCCTCTCTCGGCTCAAATACAAAAATGCTCCATTCCTTTCGCTGCACGACGATCCGTATTTCACCGTGGTGGAACGAAAAAATAGAGGTGTGCTCAAATCGTGCATAGATTAATCTGGCAAGTGGTGCACCACTCGATTTCTTCACGTTTGCCAAGCCACAACGACCGACGTATTAAATAATGACAGAAAAAAAAAACTGTTTGCTTCTTTTTCATTTTCGCTATTTGTGCCTTGATTTAACAAATGATTTTCGTTTTCACTGCGACGAAGTATAATGAGAACAAGACGACGATGGTGAAAGTAAACAATTGAAAGGTATTTCATTTGTTTCATTTTTCAAGACTCTCTCATGCGAATGTTCTTTGCGATGAAACGACTCATCATTGCTCTAGATCTTTCAACTTTGTACAATTAGTACAACCGAATTGTTGTCACATGCATAATGCAGATTTTGTGGTTTTTTTAAAAGGCATAATGCCACGGAATGAGAGAGAGAGAGAGAAAGAGAGAGAGACACAAGAAAAAAAATTGAAAAGGAAGCATATTTTCTTCCACATCAAACACCGTTGTCAAGCTCAGTGACTTCAAAACGAAAACCATAATTTTAATCTTACATTTTCCTCGGAGGTTCTATGTTTGTGCCATTCACTCGTTTTTCGCTCTCTTTCTCTGGTTTTGCAGAAGGCAACCCACACAAAAATATCTACTCACTCAAATTAAAACTGGAAAATATGAAAGAAGCACCGCAAACAACTAGTTAAAGCTCGAAAAAAAGCATGAATATCATAATTGTGATATACGAAATCTTTCTCTTTATGTCGCTAGAAAAAAAAAACTAATACGAAAGCGCTTGCATTCGGTGAATGTCAGTTTAATTTTTTAGCAAAACCCAAATCCGTGCTCTTCAAACAAATTCTCGCTGCACTACCGGAAACCAACTACAAAAATACAACCAAGCAAATAAAACCAAGAGGCACTTTTCAGGTCATCAGCTCTGCTGCTGTACAAAATACTCGTGTCCCCTGCACATGGATCAGGCGGTTTGTTTGGCTCGTTTTTTCTTTCTCTGTAAACCAAAGCGGTGAAAAAGTTGGTTTGCAAAAGACAAAGTCTTTGTAATATACAAGATTTGTAATTCCACTGCACCCAGATTAAGCTGCCATTCATTCGAATACAGAATTTGTGCTTTATGTGTGTGTGTGTGTGTGTTTGTTTTCAACAACTTGTGTTTTACTTTCGAAAATGTAACAAACATGCTCATTTCCATCTAGAAACATACAAAAGGAATTCATCAGTTGGATTTATTTATGTGCGGACAATGACACTGAAACATCACTATTGCAACTGAACAGTTTAATCCTAAAACATAAATGTTTCATCCGTTGCATCTGAAAAGGCAGTGTGATTCGAATATGAGAAACGAGATGAGTGACGCTCTTAGAAGTAAAGAACTTCTTTACTATAAAAAGTTTCTTTCGGAAGTCAAATGTTGGCCTTTCTTTCAGTTCGTAGTAATATTCGTGGGTAAGTGAGAGCAGTTACAACCATCAAACTGAAGCACAAACAATCAATTGAATTTTTTTTTGACAATTGAGATATTAAGTTTAAAGAGAGGTGCAATGCACTTTGATAAGTAGAGTCAAAATAGTTAGGAACTATTGGTGAATGAACTAAATGATATACTCCCACAGAAATTTTGTGGTTAAACACGATGCAAACAACAAAATGTGCACGAGAAGCAGCGAAAATGAACAGCCGATGTATCGGAATCGTCCGAAAAACCGGTATTCCGTTCTAATTTTTTTTACATTCATCCGATTTTCAACAATAATACTGTGTGTATTCCGCTCGTTCCCATGAAGTCGAAAGAGAAGAAGCCGCTCAGTAAACACGTGCGCATAAATAAGTAGATTAGCTACACACGCATACGTCATAAAGTATAACTCATAGTTCAACCAGTAGTTCAAACCATAGTGAAATTTACTTGCATCAATTGTGTCACCATGGGATTAGCCGAAACCGTTCGTTTACATGCGAATTATTTTTGTGTTCCTGGTAAGAGATAGAAGACCGATGTCTTCTGCAATGTTTTCGAACATTTCAAGATCTTCATCTTTGCTTGAGATACTCGCCTCGTCTCTCGTACCAGAAACGCAAAAATGATTCGCATAAAAACACGCGGTTTCAGCTAATTCAAGGCTTCGTGATTGTATACCTTAGCACGTAGTATATTTAAGGCTCGGTATAATATACCAGCATATCGCACACACACTTCTCTCGCGCGCAAACGGTTGCGTTCACAGCAAGTTTTGTTTTTGAGTTGGTTGCGATGGCTGTGTACGCAACCTTTTGCGCGCGAAAGAAGTGTGTGTGCGATATGCTGGTATATTATACCGAACCTTAAATATACTGCGTGATAAGGTATGCTATCACGAAGTCTTGTTTAAAATCATATATACAGTTTGCTTCGTAATTTGGAAAAACATCGCAAATATTGATTTCTTTGTCATACCACGATGATGCAAGGTATTGTTGGCAAAAAAAAATAGAATGTAGATGAGAACCAAAACCAGAACATTTGCTGTCATATAATGTGCATCTAGGGAGTATTTATTAAAATATTTGTATCAGGTGTGGCGCTAGTACGACGCAGACGTCCATGTGAACTATGTGTTTTGCACTTAATGTTCAGGAGTACAGTTCACACTATGCGACTGTGGAAACAAACATTGAGAAATTCTAGCAAAAAAATTCATGAAATATCAGCACCAACTTCTAACAGTGAAAGGTAACATGGCTTGAAATATAGTTCTATTTTTATTTTCACGCGTTCACACATACATGATTAGAGTTTCATTTTGAAGAGACACATTGAATAAAAGATACAACAAATGTGAACTAGCTTATTAATTTACGTACATCAAGCTCCTTGGGGGCCGTGCATGCACACCAAAATGTGAGGTCATATTCCCAGTATTGCGTTATGTTCATTCCGATGGCTATTTTCATTAGTTAAAATACAACTTTTGAATTTCCACGGGAAATTTATTCGTCGGATCTACGAGACTAATGTATCGAGTGGTTTGACCGCTCTATTATGCGTGTATTTTTGCAAATGCAGAGAACTTATTTTATTATCAACCATAAAAATCGTCAACAGAATTTTTGCGCCGTTTTTAATTGACGGTCTTTTTTCAAGGGGAATCTCACATTGGCATTTACAGTGATTTACACTACATTATAGGGTTGCTTCAATTCAACTTGAATTGCGCGTAACACCAAGTTTATTGCTAAACAGTACTTAATATTTTTGAACATCTATTTTCAATTTTTCGTATTTATTAAAAGAGTCCCCTCGTACAATCTTTACTCGGAATGATGAATCAACGAACATATATTGACTAGTGCAATGTGGTTACTTGGAGCGTAAATGTGTGTCAGTGGTATTCGTGCGTGTGAAACCGCCCTTTTCGTTTGCAAGCTTTTTTCGCATACTTCTGGGATTTAACTAGAAGAAGACCTATTAGCACCAGTACCGTAGTCAAATACAAAATATTTGAAGTTGAACTATTTGCTCAATACAACTGAGTATGGTCATTTAAAGTGAACCATTCTGAACGCAGGAAAGTTGAAGCTTCGAAAAATTTTGGTCACGATACGGCACTGAATATCATTATGGCATATGTCATTATCAACATTGCATACTATGTTTAATCAAGTGAAAATTAATTAACACCGCTCTAAAGCTATAAATGCTTTGACTTTCAATGAAAATGTAGCATTCTTTAATCGGCTGTCATCCGGTGCAGAAGAAACGGTCATTTGGTATTTTGGCAAAGGAAGCTGTTTTTCTTTGGCTTTAAAATTATCGACGTTTGTTTTTTTTCCGAAATGTTTGCTTAACCCTTTGAATTGTTAGTGATTAACCAATAGTGAAAGCATATTTCATCGTGCGATTTAAAAGCCTATTTTCAATTATTTCATGGTGGAGTGAAAAAAAGCTGTGAAAATGAGCATTCGAAAGCAAAGTTGGTAAGTTATGCCGTGCTAAAACTACGATTAAATTGCATAACTTTTAATACTAGTTGAAAACGACGAACGGACTAAGTTGATGTCATAATGTTTATCATTTAATATCTGTGCACATTTTATTGTTCTATGAATTCGTGGAATATGTCGTGCTTGAATATCGTTATGTTTATTAATTTCATGACAGAATCGTCCGAGTTTAAACAAATTCTCTGCAATCACGTGAGATTGAAAATAGAAAAAAAAATCGTCGCAAATCGCAATTTATATTAGAGCTATTTTCTGACTTTGTGCACAAAGTGTCCTTTTCAATTTATGATTTTTGTAATCAATGTTATAAATATAAAAATATGGAATAAAAAGAATGTAATGAAATGAATGTGGAAATATTCCAGGAATAAAAATGAGTTGGCCTTACCTACAGACAATTTAGACGCACAGTCAATAGCAGGCAGTGAAGAGCCTGAAGTGGATTTTCGAAAGAAAATCAAATATGGAAGTCGAATTCAGGTACGATCACATTGACTTTAAGACTATGGATATGTGTTGTATTTCTTCGTTTTCAGGCTGCATGGGCTGTACTTGGCGAGTTCTTTACGAACAGCACCGTTCATGGTGTTCGATATTTTTCGGAACAAAGACGCCATTGGAGTGAAAAGTGGGTTATTTTTCGTTCAAGTAAAAAAAATTGATATTAAAAATGGTTTGTTTAGTTCGAACCTGAAAAATAATAATAATATTTTGACTCCAAATGAATGGCCATCAAAAGAGACTGTTGGCTTTTTTTCTACAACAATTTATTATAATTTAACTAAATTTATTCCTTTTTTGTTCGAAAATAAAATCCAGAATTTGGTGGATAATTGCCTTTGGTCTTTCGCTGTTTTTCTGTGGATTTTTAATACATAATGTGTGGATCAAATGGGACCAGAGTCCAGTAATTGTGAGTTTTGCCGAAAAATCCACACCTGTTTGGTCAATTCCGTTTCCAGCTGTAACCATTTGCCCGGAAACTAAAACCTATATGGAAAAATTGAACTTTACCGATGCATATCATACGCTTATAGCAGGGTTGAAAGATAATATGACTGAAGAAGAGTAAGTACAAAGCAAATCAATTGATCGAAAAATTGTCGATTAAAATAAGGGAAAAAATTGCAGATTATCGCGAATGCAGGCGGTTATTCACCTGTGTGACGCACATTTGGTGGAAAATTTCGTATTAGAGCAGAAATTTACGACAAATGCCATTTTCGATATCATTAAAGACGTCGCTCCTAGTTTCAATGACACTATGTTCTTCTGTAAATGGCGTAATGAAAACAATTATTGCACTGCATTTTTCCTGCCAACTCTAACGGAAGAGGGCATTTGCTACACGTTCAATTCGCTTAATTCTCGCGATATTTATACAGATGAGTATGGACATTCTTGTCGATTTCCATCAGAATTGTGTTTTTTTTTTGCCCCAATTACAGTTTTTAACTTTCAGAATGGCTCCCGAAATGATGACCGTAACGGATAATCCAAATTCAACACATTGGAATTTAGAAGATGGTTACAGCGATATTGATGGACACTACAGTGAAACATATCCGTCGCGTGTGTTTGGTGCGGGAGCAAGAGCTGGACTTTTTGCGCTGCTTCGACTTTACCAACAAGACTTGGAATATCTGTGTCGTGGACCAGTGCAAGGCTTCAAAATTCTTTTGCATACACCCGGTGAAGTGCCTCAAGTATCGAAACATTATTTCCGTGTGCCATTATTACAGGAAGTGTTGGTATCCGTTAAACCACAAATGATCACCACCTCAGATGGTCTGCGTCATTACTCGCCAAATCGACGGCAATGCTACTTCAATTCGGAACGTCAATTGAGATTCTTCAAAGTGTACACGCAACGAAACTGTGAATTAGAATGCCTTTCAAACTTCACTCGCATTGAATGCGGGTGTGTTAAATTCTCAATGCCAAGTAAGTGTGAAATGTTCTAAGATTCGTGTGTGTCGAGAGAGTAAAATTCTCTGAAAAAAAAACCTTTTCTTTTTTATATTTTTTTCTGATTCAAAGGGGACAGAAACACCACAATCTGTGGAGCTGACCAAATCAAATGCTATAATGATGCTGAGGATAGACTGCTCCAGAAAGATTTTGTAGAAGGGTTGTCCATGCCTCCGTCTGCTCCAAAAGGTTGTAATTGCTTGCCCGCATGCACATCGATCACCTACGATGCAGAAATTTCCCAGGCCAAATTCGATTGGATTAGTTTGTTCAATGCATATAAAAATCCATTGGATGAGTTCCCTGGGTAAGCTTGAAATACATTTGAAAAAGTTTTGAAGAGAAAAAATTCTCATGAAATTTATTCCAGTTTAGAAATTTTGTTTTTTTTTTGTCAATTTAGTTTAATGATTTGAAAATAGTAAATTCAATGAAAATCGAATCAATTCGGTGATTCGTCAATTATTTAATTTTCAGTATGCAACCGGCACGGCTATCCATTAACTTCAAGGAGCACGAATTTATAACATCGAAACGTTCGGAATTGTTCGGTTTAACCGATTTTATGGCAAACTGTGGTGGTTTGCTCGGTCTATTCATGGGAGTGTCCGTGTTGAGCATTGTCGAAGTCATTTACTACTTTACACTTCGGTTGGGCTGTACACTTCGCATTCGAAGATCACGTAAGCGCAAGAGTATGCGACTTCAGAGAAATGCAGTTGCACCGACTGAGAAACACATCCCCAATATTATGGTCGTGACACCGGCAGACGAGAAAAAGGAATAAAGATATCCCGCACCACTGATGAATTATTATGATTAATCAATATTTTTGAACTTCTCACCATTTTAAGTACTAACTTCTGATACTACATTTATGTATAAAAGTGAAAGTGTGGCTGAACTGGTCATGAACATCATGATTTAACACATGCAATCGTTTAGGTAAAGTGGTAGACCGTGATGACCGACACAGTATTACAGTTCAATTTTATTTAACGCATTAGAATAGAAGTTAAAGTACATTTTGTTCTTAGTAAACATTATGCCAAATATCCGAATTAAAGCGATACGAGCCGACTTATATAGTAAATGTCATGAGCATTATTGTTCATTTTGAATGTCGCTAAGATGATGACATCCATTAGTAGCTAAACGGCTGAAAACTGAACTAACATCGAACGTAGAAAGTATTTTGTTGTGGTTTTTCATGCAAAATCAATGCATTGCAATCCACATTCAAGATTAGAGTCATATCGCCGAACGGTGCTTCTATTGTACTATTTAAATTCATAGATATTCTGGTCAAACTAACCAATATTCTACATCTCAATTGAAATAGTACGACCTACGCATCGCTTGACGATGTTATAATCACAGCTTAAAGTAAATGAGAATAGTAGAAAAATCGGTATGGTATTCAAAAGTCATTACTTGTTGATAAAATTAGTACGGTTTGGTCACTTTATTATTGTTGTTGCTACATCTTCCTGCACTATTATCTATCCCAAAAAATTATCTGTCGCGCCAAAGATCGAAATCAAGTATTTAAAAAGGTTAGAAGTTTTTCAACAAGTTCTTGCCTTAAAATGGCATATTTCGTCATAAAATTGATAATCCATTGCATTTATTAATATCGAAGTTATATCATTATATGCTTATTTAACAACCAGAATTGATATTCATTCTTATTGCACGTTGAAAAAAATCCATTTGTTTATGTGAAAGTGACAAAATAAATCAGGCATACGTCAAATATTGAATCTGATGTTTTATGCAACGAATGATTAAAATAACTTTTGATTGAATCAAGCGAATGTTCTGTTAAATATTTTTCCGAACAGGGTCTTCATCGAGGAACATGCGATATACACTTCACATTTAACTTGCACCGGTAAGTTCAGCGTACGAAAATTGCGACAAAAATAACTGGCAAAACGGCCGAGAGCTAAGGTGTTTTTTGCAATGACCGTTTTGGTTTGTTTTACATACATTATGCACATTTCATTCAACAAAACGTAAACACAACAAAACGAACATAAACAATTTAAGCTGGAATTGGCCGAAAGGCATCGACAAAAAAGCTCAAAATCTGCCAACATTGTCCTTGTCGTCGTCGATTATTTAAATCCATGGCAATTACTACGAAATAATCTTCATTTCAGTTCCGCTTAAGATTTGTGCCGTTTTTTTCCTTTGCCAGCAACAGCAATAAATAAACAAAGAGCAAAACATACACGCGGATAAAAAAAAAGTTGAATAAAAAAATAAATCTTTTTCGCTCTTGGAATTGAGTTGTGCTGCATTTATGGTAATCAAATGCGTGCTGTAACAATTACCATGTTATATTGCTGGAATTTGTATGCAATCCGTTTTGACAATAAATTTTTGCTGATTCTCTTCTCGTTCGCTTCACTCATGGCACGTTCAATTTCAATTCACAGATGCAAACAACAGCAACTGCAACGAGATAAGATAAAAAAATAATAATGCAGTTTAAGTGAATTAAATGCTGTTCATTCGATCATTGTTTTATTGTGGTGTGTCGAGAAAGTATCCGATTGCCGTTTTCGCAATCAGACCTTTAGGCGAAATTTAATTAAATGCCAATTTTATTTAGCTGAATTAAATTTTATAACAGTATCAGGAAGTAATCATTTCTGAAACTTAAACGAAATGAATGAAGAAATGGTTATGGTAAGTGCCGAAAAAAAAACAATAAAATCAACTGATTTGTTCTTACAAGACATAAATGTTTAAAATACAGATGATAGCGAACACAAAATGCTACAGATAATCAATACCATTGCGGTAAATGTTATGTTTGATTCAAGTCACGAGCGGACACAATGCATGAAAAACCGGTTTTTGTACCAAAATGTTGAATGTTAATGCGTTAACATGATATCGTTTATGTACGTTGTGCATCGCAGCGATTTTTGGCGAAAGATTCGATTTGGTAGAACGATAAGGTAAGAGTTTTTGTGAAATGTCAAAGAATTATTCTCCTTCAAAAGTAGAACAAATAGGCAAGCATTAGGATCAAAATATTCCAACGGAATTCGGAACAATTGGTTTGATCGGCTTTTGATAGTCGATTCAAAAATCATAACAATCTTATCACGGAAGGCATTTCATTGCGAATGGAAGTATACAACGCCTGCAAGCGGAATTGAGCGAATTTCCATGACAATTTAATTAGGTTTCAATGCTCTGAGCGAAAAACCCAGATTGGCCAGATGGATTCATCATGTCATTGTCAATACCATTGCGGCCAAAATAGCAAATTCTGTGTGCGCATTGCGCAATCTGCGCTCTCACACAAACTACGCGCTACTATGAATATCAAAGCAGCATCAGAAGAAGGCGAAGTGGACGAAGCAAGCGGAATGGTATTTCTTTGTGTTTGTTTCACGGGGATAAAGGATGGAATGGCACGATGATGAATGCCTGGAAGAAACATCGCATTAAAACTTACGAATATAATCGGATCGATGTGAACGATAATCGTGTTTCACTTGCAAATCCATCTATGGATTGTCGTCTACTTGTATCATTCCGATTTTGCTCGCTTGTGTACACTTGGCGAAAACCATTGCCACACCGCGCACATTTTACTTTCTTTGTTGTTTGCGTCTCTTTATTTTCCATTCACTCTCTCCAGTTCTGTTGCTTCAGCGCTGAAATTCGCGTAAATTGTATTGCATTAGAAATGCTGTTTTTTTTTCTCTCGTTGAAACATTTTAGATATGTGACGGCGATGGTTGTGTTCTCATTGTATACCAAATGCAGAGTTGCCATTTTGAGAGATGTCTCTATTTTCAAATCTGTGAGAAATTCTAGATGTAAGCGGCACGTCGATACATTGCCATTTTTTAACAACCAAATAACACAATAAGTAGATTTATATATGCGCGCCAGTTTGAGCAAACGTAACGAATAGAGAAAGAGAGGATTTTACGTTCTGCCCATGAATTTATTCATGTATATATTTTTGAGTAAATTAGAACTCCCACGATGCTCTTAGCATAATTTGATGATATGTGCACAAAGCGCACACAAGAGCTTATGCAAACATTTTGACTACAATAAAAGCCTTTATACTTCGATAAACCGCACCGCCAAAATAGTGAAAGAGAGAGAGAGAGAGAGAGAGAGTGCGAGAGAAAAAATCCGCCGCATGCCACACAAACAAAGCTATCCGAATGAAAATCGCATTTGTTCCCAATTCGCAATGAAAAGAACATTGAATTTTTAATGCGTTTTGCAATCCGCTTGTCGAATGTGTGTGTGTGTGTGTGTCACGCGCGTGCACCCGCACATACATTTCCAAATGCTGAGTTGACGGGCAAACCGAGTTAAGTGCCGTGATTATTTGTGTTTTAGGAGATCAGTGTCATGAAATATGGATTTTTCGGGGCGGCATTAAATTAAAACCCGGTTTGTCATCCACTTCAATTTGGCGGAATTTTTAATTGCATTTGACATAAAATCACTAAGTCGAGCCAAACGTACATAAATTCAAGCTTTGCATTCCTTATTCAGTTCAGACGAATTATGCAATGAACATGTTGGTTTTTTTTCTTCACTTCGTTCATTTGTTTTCATATAACTTGAAACAATGTATCTAATGTACGCTCAATCAACATTTAATGCAATTTTATGTGCGCGTGCTTAGCTCTGCTTTTTGTTTTTAGCACTTAAATCATAATTACCGTTCAAGAGTCAGTGTTCAGATTTGTGATTGAATTGAGCTGTTGTCAGAAAATCCCTTTTTTTATATGCGTCATACTTTTTTTTCGCTGTTCCGAAGCAGTAACTCTTTTCAAATCGGCATTTTTGATCATGTTTTTCTTCCTGTGCACTGAGCCCTCTAAATGCTGCGCTCATTCTGCCGCTTATTCGCATTGCATAAAGGAGTAAATGGCCTGTGCATAGCATTTTATTGTTGTTGCACCAGCATTATTATTTAATATTGTTGTGCATCTCATTCTGGTTCGTTTTGTGATCGCATTTCGTCCAAATACAACAACTACCAACAACACATAGTAGTGTTGAGCTGTTGTTGCTGTGCAAAAAAGGGTCTTGCTTATATGTCGAACGTACGGAATGAGTTAGTGAATGCGAGAGTACGAATTATGTGTATTTATAAGCGTTTTTATGCAAATTAATGAAGATCAAAGGGATTTTGCCGACAATGCCTTTTCTCTGGTGATGGGCTGCTGTGTGTTGTTTTTACTCACTAACTCTCTCTCTCTCTCTCTCTCCTCTCTCCTTGTGCGTACGCGCGCGTTGGAAGTAACGTTAACTTCAGTCTCGATATAATGAAATGAAAAGCATCATTGAGCACATATTTCATTGCCGCTTTTGCCATTTTCAAGTGGCCCAAAAAGTCAATCTGCGTAATTCACACATATACATCAATGTTCGAGAGTTTTTGTTTTCGGTTTGAAACCGTTGTCGTCGTCGTTGCTTCCAAAATCAACGGCTTTTCAATGCATACGCTCTTTGTATAAGTCGCTGAAACATTCGACTTGACTGCCAAAAAATGATGCAAATGCGTCAGTAAGGTGAAATTAATAGCATTGATGTCGATTTTATGTACGTTACACTCTCTTTGTTCAGATTTAACACACATTTTTCAAGGCAAAAAGACGAAGAAGAAGGAGAAAATGAAGATGAAAAAAAACTTGGCCAATGTGAAATCAATACCGTTTCCGGACGCCATTTGTCGGCAATGCATGTTCATGGTTTGCTTGTGTGTGTTTTTTTTTCTTCTGTGTCCGTATCGTTTGAACATTTTCTTTGATGTTGGTGATCAAGTACGGATATCATCGGGTGCCGTATGCGTGCATGCAGACATTCTCTATCTCTGTTTCTCTCGCTCGCCCGTTCGCTGCTACCGAAATCAATGATTGCAGTCGAAACGCCATTGAACACTATAAAAATTCATGGTCTGCAGATGCAGATGATAGCGCCTCGTGTAAGTGTAATATTTCCTGCTGGCAATTTTAGATAACGGTCTACACTAAAAAAAACGTTTTATACCGCTGCAGCATTCGGGATCCATACCCACTATCATGACGAAGATGAATCAACAAAGAACATACTACTCGTTTTTAATCCGCATAACATCGAAAGAGAGAGAGGGAGAGGGACAGAGAGCGGGCGCTTTTTGCGTGTGCTTCGCGCGATTTATTACGGCGCCTGTGTCGTTTTGCTCCTACTACATTTCATCGATTCGACAAGAGATCGCCTGTCATTGCATGTTTTACGGCGCGTCATTTAAAATAATATTTACGCTATTTTTTTTCGTCCATCTCGAGTCTCGAGAGAATAGATTGTTTTTTATTTGCTTTTTGGATCGGCGTTTTTATGCCGATGATACGGGCATGTAAAAACTATTGAAAGTGAACAAAATGATTGGCTTTCAATTACTTGAATAAATTCATTATGAAGCAAATGGATTAATCGAAATCGTGCAGGTGAATCAATTTATAAAAAAACTAAACTAGCAATGGCGTAATTTTAAAAATGTGTAATTTCTTCACAAATTTGCATAGAACTTTTGCTTTTGCTATTTTCAATTAGCCATCAGGTGAAAATGAATCTTTTTGTATATAATTGCGTAATTGCTTAATTAATTCACAAATAATTGGATCTTCTGACATATTTATGCATATTTATTGGTAGCATGCTCTATTGATTGCTCGAAGATTCAAACATGTGTTAAATTAAGTGGTCAGTGTCGATTGA